TGGGAGGATGAGGGAGGGAGAGCGTGAGGTAGGTACATCGCAAGTTTACTATCACTGTCAAATAATTTACATGGAGGTCACCGTCCTTACGTCCATCCTGCCGTGCAGCTCACACATTGGTTATCGTCGGAAACGACGGTCACAATTTCAGGCCACAACCTGATCAGACACAGCTGGATAGGTGGCTAATGGGTCCTGATATGTGCATTTTCCTATGCAACGCTATTTGTGACCTGGTATTGAAGCAACTTTGACTATTCTGCTGATCATGATTCGGTGCGTAGATCTTGGCTGTATCGTATGTAGAGTAGCACAGTAGCTGGTCTATTTCATGAAATGTCCTTTCGACCAGAAAAGCGTACTTACATGTGGTATATTCTCAGGATTATTCAGCCAGAACAGAATACCGACTCTTGGGTGGGCTGCTTAGTGACCGTCAGCGAAAACTGTGTCTACTTATGTAATTTGAAATTCTGCTTTCGAAATTAAAATATTTTTTCCATTCTGTTGTGAAGCATGCAAGGGATAAAGTCGAAACCGAAGATCGAGTTGTCATAGCAGCAAATGTCTATGCCTTTTTGTAATAAATTAATGCGCCGTTTTTGGTGTGTATCTTTTCCGACCACATTCAGCCACCGCCCACGCTCACTCCCGATCTGGCCGAGCTCTGCTTACGACTACATCTGCGGTTCGTCTGTTTCCACTTCAACGTCGTACAGAAATACCTCTGTTCGTGGCCCGAGTGTTGGAAGAAGACCTTCACAAGCCTGCAGAACTTTATAAAGCACTGGCTTGAGGTCCATACCCCATCTCGCTTTGCTTGTGTTCTCTGCCTGCGGATAAATAGTAATAAGGATGCAAACCGTGACTCAGAGGGGAAGCTTGCTGTCACAGGAGACCATTTAATCAATGGCAATACCAACGGCCCAACAACTAACGGTACAAGAACCCTCGAGGCGGCAGCACGCATTTCAGGTTAGTTTCCGACCTGTTGCAGACCGCATCTTTGGCGGTTTCGGCCGTGTTTTTTAGCACCA